ATTTAAAATTTCAGTAATGTTGCAGGATACAAAATCAACACCCAAAATCTATAGCTTTTTTTATACTCCAATAACAAACAAGCAGAAAAACAAATCAAGAAAGCAAGCCCATTTACAATAGTCACCAAAAAGTAAAATACTTAGGTATCAATTTAACTAAGGAGGGGAAAGATCTCTACAATAACCACAAAAAACTACTGAAAGAAATTAAAGAGGACACAAAAAGGGGAAAGACAAATCATTCTCTTTGATGGGGAGAATGACCAGTGAAAATGTCCATTCTACCCAAAGCAATCTACAGATTCAATGCAATCCCCATCAAAATACAAATGACATTCTTCACAGAAATAGAAAAAGCAATTCTAACATTCATATGGAACAACAAATTTCCCTGAATAGCCACAGCAATCCTGAGCAAAAAAAATAAATAAATCCAGAAGCATAACACTGCCCAACTTAAAATTACATTTCAAAACTATTGTAACCAAAACAGCATGGTACTGGCATAAAAAAACAGACACTCAGATCAATGGAACAGAATAGAAACCCAGGAAACTACCCACATATTTACAGCCAACTGATCTTTGACAAAGGCAGCAAGAACATACATTGGGGAAAAGACTGCCTCTTCAATAAATGGTGCTGGGACAATTGGACATCCATATACAGAAAATTGAAACTGGACCTGTGCCTCTCACAATATACCAAAATCAACTCAAAATGGATTAAAGACTTAAATATAAGACCTGAAACCATAAAATTAGTAAAGGAAAATATAGGGGAAACACTCCACATAGTAGGACTGAGCAAAGAATTTATGAACAAGACCCCAAAAGCACAAGCAACAAAAGAAAAACATAAATAAATAGGATTATATCAAACTAAAATGCTTCTGCACAGCAAAGGAAGGAAACAATCAACAGAGCATAAAGACAACCTATGGAATGGGAGAAAATATTTGTAAACTATATATCCGCCAAGTATATATATATATATATATATATATATATATATAATCCACTTTAAAAAGTGGCAAACGAGATGAATAGACATTTTTGAAAGGAAGACATACATATTGCCAAAAGGTACACAAAAAAATGCTCAGGATCACTAATCATCAAAGAAATGCAAATCAACTCACCCCAGTTAGACTGGCCATTATTAAAAAGACTGAGAATACCACATGCTGGTGAGGATGCCAGGAAAGGGGAACCCTTCTACACTGTTGGTTGGACTCTAAATTAGCACAGCCATTATGGAAAACAGTATGGCGGTTCCTCAAACAACTACAGATAGAACTACCATATGATCCAGCAATCCCACTACTGGGCATATATCCAGAGGAATGGAAATCATCATGTCAAAGGGATACCTGCACTTTCACATTCATCACATCTCTATTTAGAATAGCCAAAATATGGTACCAACCTTAATGTCCCTCAACAGATGACTGGGCAAGGAAAATGTGGCAAATATAAACCATGGAATACTACTCAGTCATAAAAAAGAATGAAATTCTACCATTTGCAGCAACGTGAACAAGCCTGTAGAAAATTACCTTAAGTGAAATAAGTTGGACAGAGAAAGAGAAATACCACATGTTCTCACTCATAACTGGGTGCTAATAAAGAAGGAAAGAAAGAGGAAGGAAGGAAGGAAGGAAGGAAGGAAGGAAGGAAGGAAGGAAGGAAGGAAGGAAAAGTCCATAATAATGCACTGAACTTTCAAAAGGAGGGAACAAAGCTAAGGATACTAGAGATGGGGGTAGGGAGTGAGGTGGGTTGAAGAATGATAGGTTTGGTGGTGGGCATGGATAAAGATTACGATTTGTAATGATGAATATGCTAACAATAATAATAATAAAAGAGTAAACTGCAGACCAACATCCCTAATGAGCACAGACACAAAGATCCTCAAGATAATACTAGCAAACATAATCCAACAACACATTAAAAAGATCATTTACCATGATCTAGCGGGATTCATACCAGGGATGCTAGGATGGTTTAACATACACAAGTAAATAAATGTGATACATCACATCAACAGCATGAAGGAAAGCAACCATATGATCACTTCAATAGATGCAAAAGAAAGTGTTTGATAAAATCCAACACCACTTCGTAATAAAAACACTCAACAAATTAAAGTATACAAGGAATGTACTTCAACACAACAATGGCCTAGATGACAAACCCATAGCTAATTTCACACTGAATTGACAAAGATTCAAGGCTTTTCCTCTAAGATTTGGAGCTAGGCAAGGATGCCCTCTTTTCCCACTCTTATTCAACATAGTACTAGTAGTTCTTGCCAGCACAATAAGGCAAGAGAAAGCAATAAAGGGCATGCAAATAGGAAAGGTGGAAATCAAAGTATCTCTATTTGCAGATGACGTTATCATATACATAGAAAACCTCAAAGGCTCCACTAAAATCTTACTAGAACTAATAAATGAACTTGGTATAGTGATAGGATATAAAATCAACTCACAAAAATCAACAGCCTTCTTGTATGCCAATAATGAAATAGCTGAAGAAGAAATGAAGAAAGTAATCCCATTAACAGTAGCTACCAAAAAAATGAAATACTTAGGAGTAAGTTTAACCAAGGAGGTGAAAGACCTCTACAATGAAAACTATAGAACATTGGTGAAAAAAATTGAAAAGGACACAAATAAATGGAAAGATAGCCCATGTTCGTGGGTTGGAAGAATTAACATTATCAAAATGTTTGTATTACCCAAAGCAATCTACACATTCAAGGACATCCCTATCAAAATACCGATGGCATTCTTCACAGAAATAAAAAAATCGTTCTTAAAATTTGTATGCAACCACAAAAGACCCTATATAGCTAAAGCAATCTTGAACAACAACAAAAAAAACAAAGTTGTAGGCATTACACCACCTTACTTCAAAATATACTATAAAGCTATAGTATCCAAAACAGCATGGTACTGCAATAAAACAAATAGACCAATGGAACAGAACAGAAAGCCCAGAAATAAACCCATGTACTTACAGCCAACTGATTTTTGACAAAGGTGAGTAAAATATACACTGGGAAAAAGACAGCCTTTTCCATAAATGATCCTGACAAAATAGGATATCCACATGCAGAAATTGAGACTAGACCCCTATCTCTCAAAATACACAAAAATCAGCCCAAAGTGGATTAAAGACCTAAATGTAAGACCCAAAACTATGAATCTACTAGAAGAAAGCATAGGGAAAATGCTACATGAAATGGGAGTGGGCAGTGTTTTTTTTGAGCAAGACTACAAAGGCACAGGCAACTAAAGTAAAAATATGCAAATAGGACTCCATCAAACTAAAAAGCTTCTGCACAGCAAGGGATACTGTCAATAAAGTGAAGAGACAATGTACAGAATGGGAGAAAGTGTTTGCAAACTACATATCAAATAAGGGGCTAATATCCAGAATATATAAGAAACTCAAACAACTCAATAGCCAAGAAAAAAAAAAAAAAAAAAACGAATAAAAAATGGGCAAGGAACTTGAGCAGAAATTTCTCAAGGGAAGATATACAATGGCCAACAAGCACATGAAAAAAATGCTCAGAATCACTGATCATCAGGGAAATGCAAATTATAACCCCAATGAGAAATCATCTCACTCTAGTTAGAATGGCTTTTATCAACAAGACAGAAAATAACAAATGCTGGTGAGGACACAGAGAAAAAGGAATTCTCCTATACTGTTGGTGGGAATGTAAATTGGTACAGCCACTGTGGAAAACAGTATGGAGGTTCCTCAGAGAACTAAAAATAGATCTACCTTAAGACCCAGCTATCCCACAACTGGGTATATACCCAAAAGAAATGAAATCAATATATCAAAAAGACACCTGCACTCTCATGTTCATCACAACTCTAGTCACAATAACCAAGAGCTAGAATCAACCTAAATACTCATCAATGAATGAATGGATTAAAAAATTGTGGCATGTATACACAATGGAATACCACTCAGCTATTAAAAAAATGAAATCTTATCATTTGCAGCAACATGGATGGAACTGGAAACCATCATGTTAAGTGAAGTAAGTCAGGCACAGAAAGACAAATACCACATGATATCACTCATATGTGGAATCTAACAAAAGAAAAAAAAAAAAGTGGTTCTCATAGAAGTAGAAAGTAGAATAATGATTACCCAAGGCCAGTGGCAGGGAGAGAGTGGAGGGGAGGGATAGTGGTGGACCAAAGGGTACAAAACTGTGCTATCTTCCCTAAGCAAATCATTGTGCAGTATATGCATGTATTGAAATGACACACCGTACCCCATAAATATTAGAACAAATAGCCTAAGTGCCTAAGAGAGTGTGTTTTATTTGTACTTGTACTTGCCATGGTGTCTAGAATGGCCATAGGCTATAAAAGTTACTTCAATATACAGTGAGTGAAGGAATTAAGAATGAAGGAAACTACTCCATGGTTAAAATGAAGATTAAGCCAGATAGCATACTTGAAAGCCCCTGTCACAAAGCAAAAACTCAATTTTTTGTTTCCCTCATTCCTTATATTTTCAATTATCTAACTTAAAATTTTAAGATAATTCATTAATGATACCAAAATACAAGTATTACTATCTTCAAGCAGAAAATAAAATATTCATCTTTTTAACTAATTTTAATCTAAATAACTGCTGACTTCTTTTCATAGGCTTCTCCAGGAGCACACCAGAAACAATAAAATTGCTCTGGTTAAAATCAAGATGAAAAAATGTAAGCCAACTGTATGTCTAAGGTCTGTATTTTTGTATTTTCAGTTATTTGTGTGTGTGTGTGTGTGTGGATGTTTCATCTATTTGCCTCTTAGTAGAACACAAAACACTCTAGCTGCTTAAGGTAGATGCGCAGGACAAATGAGTATGCAGGAAAAATAACTGTATGCTGATTTGGAGATGGGGTGAAATAAATAGGGTGGATTTTGAACAATCTATTTCAATAAACAAGAATTTGAATTGTTTTCTTACCCCACGGTACTGGCTTTCATTGAAAATCTGAGGTGGCAGGGGGTACCCTGTGGCTGGTCGACTGTTTTCTGGTACATTTTCTCTCATCCACTTCCGATTCTCTTCATTGGCTGCAATATCTTTTTCTTCAAATCCTATTTTGTTGGCTTCTAAGAAACCAAGCACATCTTGCTGCTTCTTCTTAATCTAGGACCCAAAGGACAAGAAACCAAATTGCTGAGCAAACAGCTTTTGTTGTTTTTATTTTTCAAATTCAACAAAAGTCAGTGTTTGTGAGCTAACAAATGAATTCAGACAAAGAGCAAAATTTGTGGTTTTGCAGAAGATATAGGATTTTTCCTCCTTATTATTGTCTTGTTAGTGATGTCTCACAAGTGGGCTGAAGAACGTTTAGCTCATAGGCTCTTTTATCAATCTGACTCTCTTTTTTCCATTGAAAATTCTCATATCTAATGATGCAGAAGCAAGGCTTGCTGATGCATATCAGTAACCTAAAGAAGTGCAATTAATGCAAAATTGGCAGTAATAGGAAGCTATGCTTTCTGATTATCTACAAACCTCTCTTGGTTTCAGCCCTTGTTGAAAGTCTTTCCAAAATGACCTGGTCTACTTCTAACCTTAACAAGCATTGTAAAGTCAACAGAAATGAGTCTTTCCTTGAGAATCACACAAGCTTCAGAGTCACTCAAGACTCAATTTTCATTGTTCAGAGCAGAAACTGAATAAGATATTAGAGCTAAGCCTGTCTGGATAATAAGTTTGGAATATACTTGCATCACTCATTAGCCCTCAACACATGCTGCTAAAGTGTCTTTCGTGTATGTCTGTCTGTGGTACCTCTTCAACTAGATTAACAGGTAGAGATGACAGACTTAGTTTCTCTCATTATCATACCTAGTACAGACAGCTTTGAAAGTAGTAAAATTAATACTCTTTAGTTAGGTTTCTCCCCTGATATGAATTCCTTTTAGAACCTGAATTCATACATCTATGGTAATTACCCATATTTAAAACCATTACTTAACATTTCTGAGCTGCAGGAGCACAATCAATAAGCAAGTTTCTTCATAGAGTCACACTAAAAAGGCATATGGGGCAAAAGCATCAAAAAATAAAATAAAAAGAAGTTTGCCAATGGGAATGAAAATGCAAAATAAGAAACTCACATACAGTCAAGACTCCTCTGGATTTACATCCCAACCCTCACACACATGCATGCTAGCGCACAGGTTGTATTTTTGTCCGTCTAAGTTGCTGTTGACTGTGGGTAATAGTTTTCTTTCTCATCATAACCGCCCCCCCAAAAAAATCCTCAATTTATCCCAATAGAAATTGGAATTGCTAAAGGTTATTTGGATCAGTGTACTGAATGCCCTTCTTTAAAGATCACTTACAATCCAGCAAAATTTGCTACAGGGTAATTTTTCTAATGGAAATCCTATTTCCTTGTTGACTCATAAAATCATACTTCATTTATAAATGTAACATATATCCTCTTTTGAATTTTGAGGAAAACCAATGAAAAAGTAAATAAATATGAATGTTTAGTGGACTAATGCACTTTACGTAAAGGTCGATTAAATCAGTGGTTTTCAACCTTCATAATACAATAGGGAGATCCAATCAATGTGAAGTGTGTCAAGTAATTTGTTGATCATTAGCATATTTACAAATTTGAGTAGATATAAAGATGTCCCATGAATATGGTACTTTCAGAAACCTGGCATGCCAACACATTTTTTTTTTTTTGAATGAGTGAAGAGTTAACACTATAGTTAACATGCTAAGAATAATACATGGCCCTGGGAGAATGGCATCTGCCATGTTTGCATAAGCAGACAAAGTGCAGAGAAACGTTAATATAAATGACTCTTTGAGGCCGTTCCCACCTTATCGAATGCTTGCTATTAAACACTGCACTGTGCTGAATGAAGATGATGGCGAGGCCTGGTAGCTCCATAAGGCTGAACAGAATGGGCCACAACTACACTTTGCTAATAGGTTATGCTATATCAAACATGAACATTTGTTCAGCTCTGAATCTTCAGAGAATGTAAAAAAAAATTGTTTCCTAACTTGATCATATCCGTAAGTCTAAAATTTCACATTTTAGGTTTATTTACAAGAGGGGGAATTTTATATATAAAGAGTTATGCACATGTTCCCTACAACACACCCTGACAAGGGGGCATCTGGTGATGCTAATTTCCCTAAAGGGACTTAAATTAAAGGGAAACAGTGAACAGATGTGACTAAAAACTATACATTGTCAGAATAAACAGAAATGGGTGTCAGAAGGTTTCACTAAGGAATAAAATTTAAATTTCCTACAGAAAAAAGATTTTAGAGTTAAAAAGTTATTGATAAACTTTTCAGCACACAAATGTATTATTAGCAAGAGAACAACAGCACTGTTCAGGGATTAAAATCAATCTTTTTTCAAAAAGTAAACCAAATCCCTCACCTCTACCCAAAGAATGCCAAGTCATTTCTGTCCTCATGTCAGGGGTTTGAGATTCAAGGTATTCTTCCCTCCAAAGACACAGAGGAGGGCTATTGCCTGGAGGAAACAGCTGCCTTCCAACAAGCTTCAATAAGTTTCTTGGTTGTCAAGTCAAAGGTCAAGTTTCCTTTAAAGAAAGGACACTGACAGCTTTGTAACCTATGAATATTCATAACCAATAAAAAAGAAAGAAAGAAAGAAAGAAAGAAAGAAAGAAAGAAAGAAAGAAAGAAAGAAAGGACACTGATAAGGTTTCGCTTTAGAATGTATGCATGTTGCAAATACCAAAGATAGAAGAAAACTTTACTAATGATACTTCAAATAGGAAAACAAGAGATCTCTTCCATGAAAGAAAATATCAACCTACCACAAAACATTTAATCAAGCTGGGCTTTTTTGCCTTGTTTTATAATCAATCTCTGCCACATTTTCTCTACTGACACTTTAATGAATATTGACAAGCATTATGACTGAAATGAGCTAAAATCTAAAATAACTGTCAGAATTTGTACTTAGTAGTTATCCAACAATATTTCTTGGGTGCCTCTTAACTCTACTAGATTCTCTAAAATGTCTAAATAAAAATAGCAGTGATCCCCTTCCAATATTACAATCTAGTGGGAGGGATTAGACATAGATACATTTAACGGTTCGATTACAACATGGTATTTAAATAAGCTAAGACAGCAATACGAAGTGGTTAGGTGAGATGAGACAAGTTGATGACAAAGCCAATGAGAAAAGTGAGAACAAGCACTTACTGCTATTAGCCATGACACCTAGACTATGCTTAGTAATGACAGCATAAATGCTAGATTCTCCATCCATCTATATTGCATGCAGTCTATAGTTTTAGTGAAAGGAAGATGTACTTAGTAAAGTTTAACATAATTGGCCAGCTGTGAAATTGAGCTCACAAAGGTGACAGCATATTGTACTAGAACAATGAAAGTACAGTATCACAAAATAAACTTGGAAATTTTCTAAGTGGTTGCCCACAATTTCTTCTTTTAAATTCTTACACATAACTAAAGTCTATAAGTGGATACACAATTGTGTGGGTATGTATTTTGTCTTTTTTAAACAGGTTATATTTGTGACCCAGTCAACTTTCTCAAGGAGAAATTCAAATATGTAGACTCCCTCCAGTTGGTTCTGTTTATTTCAAATGCTACCCAAGGAAGGACCACTCTGCTTTTTAAGAAAATAATAAACCTGCCTTTGCCTAGCCTATACCTAGAGATTTAACAGTGGGGTGGAGGAGGAGTGAACAAATAGCAGTTAAAGCTGCCTTTACTAGTCTTTTACTAATCCACTTACAAACTATATCTGTAAGGAAAATCAAATCTGAAACCCTAGTTTGTCTGTTTGGCACTGGACCAGTGCAGTGTTGCCACTGTGTAGTTCTTTGGTAACCGGAGAGATCCATGTGCATTTTAAAATGAACACTACCATGAGTCCTTAAGCCTCTGGTTTCCTATTGCTCAATATCAGGGCACAACCACAGCAAAAGACACTTGTTTTCAGCTTGTCTGTTTTGAAATATTTTTAAAGTACTTTGGTCACAATCACCCATATAAAGTCTGTAATTTATACTTGTATCTCTTTACCAGCAAGCAACAAGTCTGTGTTAAGATGACTATTAAGAATTTTCTTATTGATCTCCCACCTCTCCCCCTGGCTCCCTGGATTTCTCCTGACAGATGTTCCGAGATGAGGTGTGGCAGCATGAAAGCACAATCTAAGGTTTGCTATTTTACTGCTGCTAAAAGAAAAAAGATGTACTGTTATTGTTTTCTTTTTTAGTTGCACTTCTATCACAATCATGTCTGCAGTAGCATTTCTAAAGAGATGGTAAATTCTAAGTAATTTCAAAAACAGATCATAGTGTGAAAAGAGAAGAAACATCTGTAAAGGAAGTTTCTCAAAAAGAGCTGTCTTAACGTAGTCTCAGTAAAAAAAGTACAATCACGCCAAGTTTATAGGTTAAAAAGGATTTTCTTGACTATGAAATATCATTCTGAATAGCTTCATCTACCCAGCCCTTTATTATCTGAAACTCTTATTTGTCCATACATTTTTCCAGAATCAGAATTAACTTTAGTCTCCCATTCCTTCAGAGATGGCTTTATGTGTAGATCTAGGAGGCTGTGAAACAAGGAGCAGTGGGAGTACCATCCTACCCTATAATGCTATTCTTTTCTTATGCCTGAAACTCTACCATTACTGATTCGCTACTTTGGCCTTCACAGAAAGGGCAGTGTGCATATTTGGAGTGGAGGGAGGGACTTCCTGGAGAGAAGCAAGTAAGGAAGAAAGTGAAGTTTTTTTGTTTGCCTTAGGATTTTGCCTAGAATTGTCCCTACATACATTCTAAGAGGGTCACATGATAAAGGGACAGGAATGGCTTCCCCAGACCATCCAAAGTGGAAATATCCAAGCCTTGCTATATGTTAGTACTGGGATAGGCTTTGCACAGAATAAAGACGTTTAAGGAGAAAGGGAGACTAACACTTGTTGACTATTTGCCGAATGTTTGCTGAGTATCAAACTCTTAGTGAGGCTATTTACATATATACACTCAAATTCTCACAAAAGTTCTGAAAGAAGGCTATCCATTTAACAGCAAAGGAGATTGAGGCTCAGAAAGGTTAAGAAATCCTCCCAATAAGACAAAGCTGTT